AGTTGAGAAGGGTGCAACAGGGAACGAGATTCACTGCTGGAATTTCATGGTGATGTGATACACATAAACAAGAACCATGCTACATAGGTGCTGTGAAAACCGCCGTCATTGAAGCCGCCCTTGCTTCCGCAGTGGTGCACCTCCACTTCCCTCCAACAGAGATCAATCAGCAACCGACCCCTCACTACAGCAGGTTTCAACCGCCAAGAAGAGTCGCACGCAAACCTACCCCGCAAACACGCGAGCCCACCGCAGGTTGCTTCCTTACCTCAACAGATTAAGACAAATAGGGTCCTCCCCCAAACGCTCCAACCTATGCAGGCCGCAGCGAAACGCATGATTACCCAAGTTGTAGAGTCACAGCGTATGGGCAGCAACGTTCTGTCGCCTTCGCCGTGCCACACTGCCTCCTTCGGGCTGCCATGACTACAAACCCATAATATCCTCGCACTATACCACTGCAACACAGCACAGCACGCACCAACTGTCAGATCGCAGTAGTGTAGTGACCTGCGCCTGGTCCGCGCAGTCTCCCGTTGCTGTCTGCTAATCACCGAAACACGGTCAATAACGAATATGTCAGTTTCCACCAGCAACACATCATTCGCAGGCACGGCTCAGCATAGCGGGAAGCACGCCGCCAACAGCTGAGAACGCTGTGTCACAAATGTCATTGAGCCGCCGCAAAAACACATGATTGAGATACATGCAAAGAGACAGCTGCATAGGGTATTGCAAAGCCTAAAGCTTCAAAGCCGGCTTGACGTTGGCGGTCCTGCACGACAACATCACTCCCTTCTAGGAAGTGCCATTCGGCATCCCAAAACTCGCCAGCGCCCGTCTCAACTGTCTGCAATAGAAAGTGACGAACTGGCGCCGTTTCATATTAAAGCAGGAAGCGCTACAGATAATACTTTGCTCAGCAAAGCATCTCCACGGTCTCCGTTCCACGGCGAAAAAATCCTGACACGGAGCTTAATGACCGACCAACCACTCTACCAACAGTTAGCGAATGCCGCTCACTGACTGCGCAACGCATCACCATGCCTAACAGGAGCCAGTTCCGTAGGACTGAGCCAACGGCTGCCTAGATATTGAGTCGTCCGGGCGTCAAGGATTTCCGTACCCTCCGGCTGGAACACAACACGCCGCGAGGGTACTGTCCCAGAGTATGCAGGGCCTTGCTATTTGGTCAACAAAATACAGGGTTGCCATTGCACGCCTTCCAGACAAGCAGGGAGCTGGCAGACAGTACCTCTTGTGCTAGAAGGCTGAAAAGTCGTATAGCCTACTGGTCCATTGCCATAATATGATATACGCACGTAGAATATAAGAGGGGAGTTGTAGTGATGACATCCACTGACAATACCGTCAACGTCCATGCACTATTAGCTACCGCTGTAAGGGTCAATCCGCACCCGATGCCCGCCGCAGCAGGCTGCAACTACATAGCCATAAGTAAACCAAACAAGAGCATTCCTAGGGTGAATTGAACGCGCTGCCTGCTATTCACAGCGCATGAGATGGCTCGCGCGGTTTGGGTTTTGCCTGGAAGCACTTCTAAAGCAAAGTTAAGAATTCCCTACGAACTAAGAGCAATGCCAAGCAATGCATACACACTCGCTGCACCAGCAATTCCCAACGAAACTACCAGGTCATTCAATCTCCAGAAAAAGCGACGCTATCCAGAGAGACCCGCCAAGGTTCTACCCCAGCGGTGGCTCATGTGAAGCGAAAAGTATTGCGTTTCACGCGTAGGCTGTTATGCTGTCTAAACGATCCACCTTTCACTCGAACCAATTATGACGCGGAGCAAAATGCCTAATTCCCCTACGTAGCAGCAGCTAGCAACGCCAACTCACTGGCTGCAGCGGCATCCATTTCCTGAATAAAGCCTATACAGGCACGTAAAATTGACCTAACAAGGGGTTCCTTCCACTAACCTGCGATCTATCCCCACCAGCGCTCGCTTGAAACGGATGGGGGAGAGATCCGCTCAACCAAATGGCGCGTCTAAAGAGCAACTGGCACAAACACGGTTAAACCCAAAATGTCCTCCACAACCTCAGCAAATTACGCCAACTAGCACGTCTGGAGTCAATGCAACGTCATTCTTTGATAGCCTTGTTAAGACCCCTTGGTTTTTCACCTTCCCACGGCAAGTACACCACAGCAGTGAGTTGCCTTCACAATACAGAGCTGCATCCAGCGTTAACAGCAGGCCTGCGGTTCAGCAGGTTAACTGAAGACGCGTCGTCAAGAGAGTTGTAACAGGTCACCAATTCACTTGCTCATCGTCATAATGATAAAACTGATCCACATACAAATGACCCAAGAGATGCAACAGGTTGTAAGAATGAATATCATTGCAACTGCTTGGTTTTGGAACTCCTGCATCCTGCCAATATCGCATCCCACGATGAGCTGCAGCAAGGAATAACTGCATCCACCGGGAATTGCCGAACTGCTACTGCCCCAAAGTATGAAAAGGCGCTCCTCAGCAATACGTTTGGTTGTACTCGTGCTCGTTTGGCCTACGTTTGACCACGAAGCAATTCCCAGGCGGAATGCGCTATTCGCCAGGGGGGTAACGGCGACCGTCAAACACCAGCCTTGGCAAATACCTATATTCGTAGGCAGTCAAATTTCGCGAACGCAGCCCAAGAAGTGATTATGATCGAACATACATTACCCACACAGTCGCCGCTTTTCCCACCCCACTGCTGTTAACAAAGCACAATATCGTGAGTAACCCAGCACCATAATCAAGTCCTCAAACACAGCACTTCCGTCCGCAAGCCGGCCTAACAGCCGCTGTTGTCCATGTTGACCTAGGAAGCCTTCACCTCAGTGCGGCTTCGGATATAGACAGTATGGAATACCTCGTCGCATGGAGGTGATGCGCCTGAAAAACACCCACAGCTAATATACAAATTCACACGTTCAATCCTAGCCTCAGCTGATGACGATGAATCCTGCTCATTTACATACGGAACAACGTTGGGAGTCGTATAACCAACGCATTCTTGCATAAAGCCTTTTCCAACAGCGAGGCACAATCAAGTATCTGTTTTTCCAAGACTTATCGGTTCCTAGCCGGCCACCGCCAAGAAATCAGAGCACTGAACCATTGGCGGAGTTTTGTATGCGTAGTGCACTTTTACCTGGCGCGAGCAAGGTAACAGTGTTCTATGCATACTGGCTCGCGGTCACCTAGAGACGGCAAAAAGCACACTACATCAGGCATTTGATCTACCGGTTGAAAAGAAGGAAAGAGGGTCCGGCACTTTACTGGTCCATTGCCAAAATGACACTGTTAATATCATGCAGCAGCATCTTACTACCAAACAAAGAGACTATGTCGCACAACGAGCCTCACAGAGAGCCCCTCCCACACCGACCACACATATTTGATAGCTTCGGACGGGCAGACGGTATACGCGGGTGGCAAAGAGGCGAAATAGACGTCCGCCGCAGGTTCGTTCCTACCCTCTGCTACGACTACGGTCCCCGTCAAGACGCTCCAACCTATGCAGTGCTCAGAGAAACGCCCGAACACCGTCGAGGTATTATATGTACGGCTGGAAGCGTCATATTACCTTTTGGGTGGCATCACCATAACTCCACAGGCTTTCAACGTGTCGCTGCAAGGCAGCACAGTACCCACAAGCTATTACATGCCAATACAAAAAAGCAGTTTGCAACTGGTCCTTGCAAGCTCCGCTTGCCCTCCGCAATCCTTTGAGAGAAGAAGGGGTACAGTAATGATTAGCCTTCACCGGCGACACAGCATTCACAGAACCCGCTCAGCACTGGCCTGCATCAGGAATGAAAAATACTTGTGCCCGACGGGCAGCCACGGCTAGACATTCACAATATTTTCCCACCTTCCGGGTACAACACAGCACAGCACGCACCAACTGTCAGATCGCAGTAGTGTAGTGACATGCGCCTGGTTCATGCAGTTCGCCGTCGCCGTCTGCTAATCACCGAAACAAGAACAATAACGAATATATCAGTTTTCACTAGCAACACAGCTTTCACAGGCACGGCTCAGCATAGAGGGAAGCACGCCGCCAATAGCTGAGAACGCCGTGTCACAAATGTCATTGAGCCGCCGCAAAAAACACATGATTGAGATACATGCAAACAGACAGCTGCATAGAGGATTACAAAACCTAAAGCTTCAAAGCCGCCTTGACTTTGGCGGTCCTGCACGACAACATCACTCCCTTCTAGGAAGTGCCAAAACGCATCCCAAAACTTGCCTGTGCCGGTCTCAACTGCCTGCAATGCCTAACAGGAGCCAGTTCCGTAAAACGGAGCCAACGGCTACCTAGAGCTCGAGTTGTCCGGGCGTCACGGATTTCCGCACTTTAACGCTACAACGCAGCACAACACGACACCACTTCCGCGCGTCAGCTTGCAAGGCGCGTGGCAACAACGCCCACAATTTGGGTATGTGACAACGGCAGCCGCGAAGTGACACGTCTCTGCATCAGCCATGGCTTTGGCTGTTCTGCCTCTCTATTCACATCCAAGATATTGCATTATGCACCGGAGGCCCGACGCACCAGCAATCAATCGTGTCTGCCGCTGGCTGTTCCTTGGTTTTAGTCTACTACATTTGAGGACATTTCGGGCAAACTTGGTGCGGATGTAAATGCCCTATCAGCTGGTGACAGCGACGAACAACGCCAACGCACGTGCTGCGCGGGCATTAATCGCCTCCCAGAAGGCAGGGCCAAGACCGTAGAACTGACCTGACGGCCGAAAACCTCCCTATGCACCTTCAAATGATCTATCGTACAAGGGGCTCGCCTGACGTCGGTATGGAATACCGCCGCACAGGCAAATTGTGAGAAAACACCTGAATTCACAGTAAAAAACTTAGCCCCAGTTGGCGACGCCGAACACTGCATACGTGAACGTGAAGCTTGCAAAATAATGAGGTAAATTGCCTTCTACAAACGAATGTGAACCTTTCAGCGTGCAGTCCAATGTCATTCGGCCTGCAAAGGTCGAAAGAGCAAAGTACCATTGGCCCACGACATATTGGTCCGGTGCTAAGCCACCGCAAACGCTGCGCAGCACTAATTCGCCCTCACGTGCCAGGACTGTCTCGGGCAACAGTATACAGAGCGTTTTATCAGGCTGCCCAAAGGAATGACCCCATGCACAAATGGCCAACCTACATACAACAAGCAAGAGACCGCGAGAGCTGTGGGAACCAATATACTTGCATGCACATTGGTGTTGGCAAAACGTCTTCGCCAAGTGACTGCGTGAGTCAACTACCTGGGGGAGAAACCAGCTAAAAAACTAGAACTAGCTCAAAGTAAGATTTCGTGTGTTCCACTGAATGCATGTATCACCGCAAGCCAATTATCTGGCGGAAACCAATATCTTTGGGGCCTGTATAGCACCCGTAACCCGCCTACATGAACTGGCTGCACCAACTGCCCTCTACAAGACCAACATAATTCCGAAGGACTGACTTACCAAAAGAGAATTGCCGTATATGGCTGCCTGTGTTCCAAAAAGAAACAATTCTGAGATGAGGAAAAAATTGCCGCTCACTGCCTGCGGTTGCATTGCAGTGCCTACCAACACAAAGCCACCTCCCAAACTGAGCGAAGAATGCGTAAATGCCTTTCTAGTGAGGACACATGTGTTAGGCAATTTGCACGGTTCCCTGCTAACTGATAGTTCCAACTAACATACACCACCCTGCATAGTGAGAAGCACGAGAATCCACCGCATAGCAGCCGCACATGAATGTGCTAACAGGACGTTCTGCATACGAGATTAGTAACCGTTGTTGGCAACCAGGCGAGGTACGCCTTTCCAGACAATGCCCCTCCGCACGCCACGATTTGCAACTGGATGTATGAGCTGCCTTTCCCAGAAAACACTATGTTTGCGTTTCAACGGATCATCTTCAGTGCCATAGCCACATGGTTAGCCTACAAACAAGACACGGATGCAGGAGAGAAGATTGTGGAAAAGAATTTCCCTGGAGGTGCCTTGCCGTGGCAGCCCGTCCGCATCCCACGCGTTCGCCACGGCGTTGCCACGGCGTTGCCTCCACCCGGAGGCGATTGCAAGCATCCTAAATGATCAACGGCAGCCAATTTCAAACCACCACCTGCAGGACACGCAACAATCCTGTTTCTATCTGGGCAGGCTGTTCGTTCGGAACCAGCCCGCACAAAGAGTGCGCACTACTTGTCCAGCCACGAAATCTGCAAACGCTGTTTACATCAACTCAGGAATGCAGCATGACCTCCTCTGGTAGTCTACTAGACGGGGCACAGTAGCCGAAAGGCCTTCAGGAAAGGCGTGGAGGCATGGCATTTGTACCTTTGGGATTGGTGGTAAAGCCCGATAATCCACTACAACCGCCATCGCAGCACAACCCATGTCGCCAAGGATGGAACCGTGTGAAACAAAATAAAAAGAACGAGCGGTCGGTTTTTTAGGTGCAGCGCTCCTCAGAAAGTAATCATCAATTCTGGCGCTACAAAAGCAAGGCGTTTTCAAAAAGGCACGACGCACGTCACCGCGTGCTTCCAACCGTACGTAGCCGGTTTTTTTAATGGTTACGTAATATAAAGCTGAGCCTAGGTAGAGGCGATACTGTCGGCATACAAACGTACAAGAACCTGCGCAGTCCTATCGC